AATCTACTCCGTGTTGGGAGAATTACTCGGTTGCGGTTTGTTTTCTTACTTTATTGTAAGGGATTTGTATTCTTGGTGTTGGGATTACACCAAGTGGTAGAAATCCTAACGGTTTGTGAAATCAAACGTTAGGTGGAAGAAATCCTGAGTTTTGTGAAATCAAAACTTTGGTGGTAAGATAAGAGGCTTGTGAAATCAATTTCTCGAGTTGTATTTGGATTGTCAAACTCCGTTAAGTTTGACGGGTTAGTGAAGGCCTGGGCACGATTGCTTCGGGGACTGGATGTAGGCATTTAGGCCGAACCAGTATATATCGTGTGTGCATTGCTCTTATCCTTCACTTTACTTTGTTTGTGGTGCATTGATTTTATTGAATATTCGTGAAGAACGTTTCCGCGCAAAAAAAAACTGGTCTTTTGGGCAACACCTCTATTCACCCCCCTTTAGAGGTGTGCGAGGCCTCTAACAATTGGTATCAAAGCGAGGGATTTTCAAAGCTTTACCGCTGAAAATTTAAAAAGATCATGGCCGGAAGAACATTTCAACCCGGAGTTGCCGAAGGACAATCCACGACAAGGCCACCACTCTTCGACGGAACAAATTATGCTTATTGGAAAGAGAGGATGAGAATATTCATCCAATCAAATGATTATGATTCTTGGATGGTGATCAAACATGGAGAGACGGTTCCCACGAACATTGTTGACGGGGTTCTTGTTCCAAAGTTAGAGACTGAATATACCTCAAATGACAAGAAGAAGATGCAACTAAATGCAAGGGCCATCAACTTTCTATATTGTGCCGTGAACCCTGATGACTATCGGAAAATCTCAAGGTGCAAGACGGCCAATGAGATGTGGAACAAATTAGAGGTCACATATGAAGGAACAAGTCAAGTGAAGAACTCAAAGATCGACTTACTCACCCATGAGTATGAGCTTTTCATGATGATGGAAAATGAAACAATAGATTGCATGTTCGAGAGATTTTCAACTATCGTCTCAAATTTGGATACACTTGGAAAGCATTATGAGGATCATGTTCTCGTTCGAAAAATCCTTCGAAGTCTCACACCGGAATGGAAGTCTACGGTCAACCCTATCAAAGAAGGCCGAGATTGCAATACATTGACATATGACGCACTTCGAGGTAAACTACTCACTTATGAAATGTCTAACTTTTCTAGTGCAGCGGAGATCAAAAGGGATCAAAATCTATCATTCAAAGGAGTTGCACTCAAAGCTTCATCCTCAAAATATGTCGAGACAAGCGGCTCTGGAGAAAGTGACATTCTCGAGTTATTTAATGACTTCTTGCAAAATGAGCTTGAGCAATTGAATGAGAGTACAAAGCCTACTTGCTATGGATGTGGACAGCATGGACATATCAAGGGTCATTGCCCTAATCAAAAATTCAAGAAGTCCAAACGCCGCAAGCAATCCAACTCTAGCTCCTCTTCCTCATGCGATGATGAAGTAGCCATTTGTCTTATGGCTCAAAGTGAATCCGAAGAGGTATGTTCTTCTAACGATCCTTTTAGTTTTGAAGAACTACAAGAAGCATTTGGTGATTTATTTAAAGAATTTAAGAAAGTCTCATCTATTGCCAAAGATTTGGAATATAAAATCACCCTCTTGCAAAAGAAAAATAATATTTTGCTAAAAGAAATTGATTCCCTCAAAATTGAAAATAAGACTTTTGAGGAGACTAATTTGAAATTAAATGATTCACCTTGTTCTTCATGTAGGTCTTCTAGTCTTGAGATAGGAGCACTTAAGAAAGAGGTAGACGATTTGAAATTAGATATGAAGAAAGTTGAAAATGAATTTAGACTAAAATCTACCTCTAAGATTCAATACTATAGATCACCTAGAAATAATCTAAGTCATTCTAGGAATTCTAAGTTTGATAGACAACCTAGAAAGCACATCACACGTCCTAGAAACATGAACAACCCTAGTGTTAGGTGTCATTATTGTAATAAAGTAGGACACATCTCACCAGTTTGTTACACTAGGTATAGGCACTTGCTTCTAAGTCAAGAGAATGTGATGCATCGTTCATATGATTTTTATTATTTCCATAATACCCCTGGACCCAAAAGGCATTGGGTACAAAGATTTTCTTCGTAGATTCATTAAGGAAGGTGTGCTTGAACACTTCGACTTGAGTTGAAGTAGATGCACCAAGCACATAATTGGGTGAAGCATCAATTAAGGGGGAAGTTGATTCACTTTATTAATTCCAACTAATGTCGATTTATATTTTAGTTGGACAATGTGATATTATTTGTTTGTTTGATATCTATTTGCATGAGCATATATCTTTTTGCCAATCTCTTTTTGATAATGTCAAAAGGGGGAAGATGGTGTAGATATGCATATATTCAGGGGGAATTGTATTTGTGCATATCTTAATGGGGAAGATAGTATAGATTTGTATGTATTTGTTTGATTTATAATGCAATACTTGAGGGGGAACTAGCCTTGTATGATGCATATCTCTTAATGGGTTTGTCATTATCAAAAAGGGGGAAATTGTTGGACAATGTGCTATCATGCATATATATTTTTGCAATGTCCTTCGCCCATTGTCTTTTAGGTTTTGATAATGACAAAAGAGTGACAAAACATCATCATCATTTTGTGCATCAAGGCTAAGAATCAAAGCTACAACAAGTTCATATCCGTCCGTGAAGAAGGGACTTGAGCATCGGTGGAAGGAACGAGACCGAAGAGGTTGTTTCCTTAGTTGGGTAGTGTTTTAGGTCTTAGATTATGTGTTAAAGAGTATGGCATCTCTAAGGTTCATTCCCTTATCATC